CGACATATATAACCCCTCCTCCTTTGTAATTAACAGCGAATATCACAACACAGACATATTGCAAAACAGTCAATATATTATCGCCTGTGAATATTAATTGAAAACGAAGTTTACTTACAGACCATTTACGTTGGATGATATATTTGTAGGAATTCTAGACAACCCAGACTTCTCGCATGAGACCTTAAATCGTTGGTAGCAGCGACACATTGGTGGATAGCTGTCCACATCTGTAGAATACATATAACAACAGTTAAGTTTGATTGAATAGCAACCCTCGGTCAAAATTAGGCGCTCATAGCCCAACAGACTGACATAATTAAGATGTGTGAAAGATGGCCGTCAAGCGACGATGTGAAGTGTTAAATGTTATCCGCACTTTATTGAGTATAGTAGATGACGCATTGGATATTTGGCATCATTCCCAATCACAGCCAAGCTACGCAAAACTCACCACATCCTTTAGTCATGGTATATAATGCTGAGACATTTATTCCAGCTGCGAGTAAGTCCAACTTCTGATCAAACAACGAATTCAAGCCGGAATTGTCACCTGTTTGGACATGAGACAATATTATGTTAGAAGTGGGGTTGGAATGAAACGAGATATACGCACTGATACATCGGTAGAGACACATTTATTTGATCTAAAAGCATATTCTCCATTCATGTGCACATAGAATAAAATTGTTCATTGGTATTCAGCGAATAGCACATCAATCAATTACGGTTCAGTTCAAATGCACAAGGGAATGAATTAATTTCTCTTATTGTCACATTGGAAGAGCAAAAGGCAAGTTAAGCCGTAGGCGAACACACTGTCGATCAATGGAACATATTATTACTACATTCTAGACATTCATTTTTAATGTTATCAGAGTTTTAGATCAACTTTGACGAGCATGGACAATTGGATGTGGGGGGGGGTATTCGTTGGTTTACTGTAACATGATGATTTGTTTGCACAAATAATTCAACAACAATTTAATTTATCTCCACAGCCGCCTACGAATTTGACCTTTGTATGTCATCATGAGAAGTGCCAATGGCGAGAAGCGAGGAATACTAAGCTTGGATTGCATCACATCGGAACGTCTTTTGCAATCGGACGCGTATAAATTGTAAAAAAGTTTTTTTTTCTTTATTTCAGTTCTTCAGTGACGAATTTTTGATAATTTAACTACAATCCCATCAATTTAAAAACAGAAGACCAGAGACAATTTTAATTCAACTCACGGCATCGTTGAGGTTCCTCATCAGCAGCGTTTTCACAGTCGTTCGTACCATCGCAGAAAAACCGTTGATGAATGCACTTTTTCATAGTTCCACAACGGAAATAGCTCGTCGGACATTCGAATGCACCGACAGCCACAGCGAAAGTAAGAATCAAAGCGAATACTGAAAAAAACAGCAAAAAAAAAAAAAAAAAAAAAAAAAAAAAATAGGTAAGTTTTTGCCAAAGCAAAAAACAAAAACAAATCAAAGAAAGCTTAGAAAGAACTCCCGTGTAGCTGAGAGTATTGGAGACACATTAAAAATTAATTCAAATTACTTGAACTTGAGATGTTGAAGGAAACTAATTATGCAAATAAGGTAACTAATATGAACAGATTAAAGTGTAAAACTAATAAGGTCTGCACAATGTACCAAGTTTCATTGAAATGTGATTAGAACCAAGAAAATATTAATTATTATGATAATTAAAGAATTAATATGAACAGATTTTAACCCAAAATTAATCAGGCTGTCTATTGTCCTTGAGCATTTATGTAAGTTTTATTCAAATGTGATGATCAATACTTGAGATATCAGTATTAATTAATTATGTTAATTAAGAAGCATAAATATTTACCAAAAACTAATATGGGGTATAGTCCTAGTTCATTGAAATGTGATGAGTACTCTTTAAAGTTCCATTGAAATCCAATGAGTGTTTTAGACATCAGTGCACAG